CGTATTGAAGCGTCAACTACAATTCTTCGAGAATGAGCAACTTACAGCCCGCGGGCTTCATGCGGCTCTTTTAATATTTTCTGCGGTTGGAAGACTTTTATTGAAACAACTTTATTTGATCAATTAATTAATTTTATAATTATGACGTATTATTTTTCTGTTGCCTTTTTTATGAAGTATTTACTTTTTTTACTTCCCGTGAAGTAAGTTATTGTAATCGCCCAAAAATCGATAATGAAATTTTGCATATATTCAAGTTTTGAAGATTTCTGAACATTTTTGCATACCTCAGAAAAAATGGGGGTGTGTTGTTGTATGGATACAATTTTTCGTCCACGTTTTCGGGTGCACAGGTCAACCGATTTGTATTATTAAATAAAATATTCGATTCCTATGATTGGAAGATGTGCTGATTAGTTATGGCAAAGGCAGGTCTAGCCGTTTCGGAGGTACGAAGCAAAGAGTGCATAAAATTGAAATTGATGATTTTTTGAGAGCTCGGAGCATCCGATTTGAATTATTAAAAAACATTCAATTTGTAATGATGAAGAGAAGTGGTGATTAGTTATTGGCAAAGGCAGGTCCAGCTGTTTGGAGAGATAAATGTGCAAAAAATTGCAGTTTTTGAGAGAACGAAGCATCCGATTTGAATGATTCCAAAAACTTTTGCTTGTATTGACGGAACGATTCATATCCATTTTTTTCATTTCTGAATATCAAAAATAATTCAGATTTTAATTTTAATTTTAGCTAAAATTCTAATGCTCGCTTATATACTTGAAATATTATTTATAAACATATGGCATATGACATTTGACCAATCGGGAGCGTTCGCGATTATCGTCGGCAATGTTTGCTCAGACATGTTACGTCACATACCCTTCTATGTTTGAGCACTATATACAACGAAAACATATAGGGACTAGCAGTTTATGTAGTGTATTGTCTATGATTCTAGCAAGAGTTAGAGTAGTAATCGAGGGTATTCGACGGTTCTCGGCAACACTCGTTTACCCAATGACGTTATATCGTCTTTTATCTTTTGACAATGCTTATTTAACTATGATGAGGACTAGCAGTCTAAGTAGTGTAGTCCCATTCGATTCAGAATGACTTGAGATGTCGAGAAAACATAAAATTGGCGAATCAGATTTGTTTTTGGCGAAAACATAAACTTTTTCTTCGGGAAGTCAAAAAGTATGTGTGTGACAAACTCTAATCTTTATTCCTCACGTGTGCCCGCACCCTTAGAAACTACGTAACCGCGAATTTCAAACTTTTCAAAAACTACACGTAAAATAAGAAAAAAATGCAAATAACGGAATAATTACACTTTTGAATTAAGTAATATATTAAATATATCTTTTTTAAATAAATAAATGCAAAATAATTATTAATAAAAAAAAACATATTTTTAAAATCGAGCGCTACCTGTCAATGTCAAATGAAACATCATCTGTCATAAAAAATGAATAAATTTATGAAATTAATAACTTGTCAAAAATAAATATATTCATTATCTATGACATTTTAATTATTTTATAAATATTAATATATATTTGCTTTAATCGGTATAAAAATTTTTATAGTTGTGTTAAAAAATTTGATATGCAAACAAATTTTGTTATGTTTTTAATTTTATTTAAGTTTTACATGAATTTATCACTATTGTGTAGTAATGCTTTAAATAGAATTAAAAATTATTAGTTTGCTTGTGATTTAATATTTATGTTCAAAAAATAAACTTTTAAAAGTGTGTACGTGCAAAAGTCATTTCATAACCTCAATTTATATGTCGGCTTGTACTCAGGTTTGTTTTCCATATTAAAACACTAAAAATGTCATATTATTGTTGCTAAATATATTCAACACTTGTTTTACAACTATGTACAAACATTATTTGTCATATGTCATATTAATTTTATCCTTTTCCAGTTTCTTCATATATCCTTTACAAAATGCAAGAAACCAAACGCCGAGAGCGCTCAGCAAATTTCACAATCGCCGAAAATCCGTCTCCTAAGCTCCCTGACAGCTGCTTATAGAGACTCCATCGAAAACAAAAAGAAACAACGATGCAGTCTCCAACAAAGAGAAAGAAGCAGCTTGGCTTACTATCGAGAGTATGTTCAATGCCGCTATAGTCTCTCCGCAGAGGACTGCAAAGACTTTAAAATTGAATATGATGGCTTGAAGAAGGCTTCGAAGAAACAAATGGCCCCTTTGTTTGATGACGGGTTGTTGACTGATCCTGAGATGTATGATGCTGAGGAGAAGGTGCTGGCGATGTGTACAAGTGTTTATGGGGTTGAGAATAGAGTTGGCAGTGATTGTTCTGTAGGTAGGTGGTAAAACACTCATAAATATATAAATATATTTATATATACATTATATATATATATATATATATATATATATATCTTATATAAAATTCTTTTGTAATGTATGAAAGGATAATCCTCCTAAACGATTATTTAAATTTTGATAAATCTTTTTGAATGTTGTTAAGGAAACGGAAAAGCAATGAGTTTTCTTGGAAATTTCAAGATATTTATAATTTTTTCAAAGAAGCACCTCCAAGTCCAAGTATGAAATGCACTGATATGAAAGTTTTAGAAGTTTAAAAATTTTTGTATCTGCTTTAGAATGTTATAATTTTAATATGTTTTATTTTAATATGTCTACTATAATGACAAATACTAAAATCGATGAGTTTTTTTGGAAATTTTCAAGATATTTATAATTTTCTTAAAGAAACACCTCCAGTCTAAGTATGTGGAAAACTGATACGAAAGTTTTGCAAATTTATAATAATATGTGTATTTGCTTTAGAATGTTTTAATTTTAATATGTTATATTTTAATATGTCTACTATGATGACAAATCTTAAAATTGATGTTTTCTTGGAAATTTTCAAAATATTTATAATTTTTCTAAAGAAGCACCTCCAAGTCTAAGTAAGTACGGGAGTAAACTGATATGAAAGTTTTAGAAGTTTATAAAAAATTGTGTATTTGAATTAGAATGTTGTAATTTTAATATGGTCTATTTTAATATGTAACCATAATGACAAATACTAAAATCGGTAAGGTTTCTTGAAAATTTTCAAGATATTTATAATTTCATTGAAAATGTTTCTCCAAGTAAAAGTTAAACTGATTAGTGCATTAGAATGTTGTGCTACATTCTTCTTCATTATGTCTACTACGATCATAAATACTAAAGTAATGAGTTTTCTTAGAAATTTTCAAAATACAATTTCTAAAAAAAACACGTTTTTCTAGATCGTTCTAGTTTGAGTACTAAAAATACCCAATTATTCGAACAAATACTTGACAATTGCTTTCTAGCGCGCGTTGTGAAGTACTGCCGTCTTTTACCTTGTCAAAGTGATTTCACGCCTCATGTTACACGTTTCCACTACTATAGAGGTAGTAAATTTTTGGAAGCCTCGTTTTTATTAAAAGACGAGGCTCAATATGCAAATTAATCTAGTTGTAAGTGGCATTTTGCCTTGAGGCAAGTTGCATGAGTAAATAACAGAGGTTTGTTAAAATTAGACCTTTCGTCGACGTTTTCTCAAAAACGGGCGAGTCAGTTTCACAAAATTTAAATACTATACGCATGGTTAGTTTTTTTATACGATCTGCTAAGCCGTTTCTTTAAAATTAGCAAAACAGTGCAAAATTTTAAATAAATTTACTCGCCCGTTTTTGGTAAAACGTCGATGAAAGGTCTAATTTTAACAAACCTCTGTTATTTACACATGCAACTTGCCTCAAGGCAAAATGCCACTTACAACTAGTTACCTTCCCGTAGGGGTGTTACAGTAATAGGCCGAAATCGTTTATCTATGATATATATCATCTATATATATATATATATGTATGTATATAGATTATATATTTAGAAGTTGCTACACCAGAAAGTGCTTTACCAAAACATATGCAAAATGCTGATAAATGAACCATGTGAATCTGGACAAAATCAAGGTAATATACATAAATTGTATTACAAATTCAATGAAAAAATATTTTTACATAGTAAGAGATATTACATAATTTATTATAATATTAACATTTTTTTCTGATTTTCAATCAAATACATATTTAAATTTAATAATTCATTTAACACTTATAATTGAAATAATATTTGTTTATATTTCTTCTATAATTATGGTGTTGATTTTCAGAATAATTTAATGAGTTGTTGCTAATTATAATTTTTTCTAGTAATCGAAGAGCCTCCTTGTGTCACCATTTCTCAAGAAAATGGACCGTCTAAAGGTAAATAAATTTTTCAATTCCTTTTTATCTATTTGTATGAATAAAATCTTAGAATATATATATATATTATATATATATATATATACACCTAAGTCTGTTTTACACAGTCTTTTTGTACACGGTTTTGATATAACACGGTTTGAAAATTGAATATTTTTAATTTTTTACACGAATTTATTCCATTTAGCACGATTTGAAATTTTATATACCTAATTTTTTTTTTGTTAAATTAAATTTTTGCGAAGTATGTTTATATCACAAAAAAGTATTTATGAAAGAAAAAAGTCTGAAACCATCGATAGTATCGATAGTTTGCGAACACTAGCTTAAAGATTTAAGTGAATTCCCCTTTAGCGCGTACAAACAATTTTTACTGGTCAAAGCAAATGTGAATTGCAATAATTTAATTCTTGTTCTTAAAAATTCTTGTTTTTCGCCAATTTTAATAGGTTTTAGAGATTAGGAACAAATCACCTATTTTTGTATAAGATCAATGTCTTTTTTACACGTTTTTTTTTTACACGGCTTCTTCTGGAACCAATCTCCGTGTAAAAACAGACTTAGGTGTATATATATATATATAATGATATTTATTTTTTCCTCTTCTAGTTGTCTCTAATAATTATGACAAATGGAAAACAAAGTTTCCAAAGAACCTCAGTGTAGGTCTTATAAAAACCGAAGACTCCAATCCACAATCATCAAATAAAAATGATAAACTAAGTGCAGCTCAATTGGAATTGGTACAATTACAAATCGAGATAGCAAAACGTGATCATGAATTCTTAAGAATTGAGCACGAGCTGAAAGTCGAGCACATGAAGAACGAAGAACGTAGAAGACAGGAGACACACGAGTTGTTGATTAAACAAATTATTCAAGGGAATTGTAGTCCTACGAGTAATAGTTAGAGTTATAGGAAATAGGAAAGAAGTAAGTTTAATTTTGTATGCTTTAATTCGCTATATTTGCCAGAAAATTCGATTTACTCTAAGTCGTTCTGAATCATTTGACACTAAACTTGGAACAAGTATGTGTGTGTGTCTGTATATGTATCAAAAGTTGACCTTTACTCAAAAGGACATCGTAATAAATGCGGCTACGTTTGTTTAATTTTAATGTTGTAAGTTTTGTATGAAAGGTGTAAAGAAGTTTTACTTCAAAATTTCTTTGTCTTGTTTTTTATCATGTGGGGGCTTATTTGAAAGGTCTTATCGAGTACATTACGATTTTAAGAATAATATTTATTATGTTATGATGCGTTCTAATTTTACTTAACTATAAATAAGTCATTCTGAATCGTTTGACACTATAATTGGAACAAGTATGTGTGTGTGCCTGTATGTGTACCAAAAATTGATCTTTACTCAAAAGGACATCGTAATAAATCCGGTTACATTTAATTAATTTTATCGTTGTAAGTTTTGTATGAAAAGTGTAAAAAAGTTTTACTTCAAATTTTTTTGTCTCGTTTTTACATTATGTGGGGTCTTATTTAAAAGGTCTTATCCAGTACAATACGATTTTTAGAATAATATTTATTATATTACGACGTGTTCTAATTTTACTTGACTAAATAAGTCATTCTGAATCGTTTGACACTAAACTTAGAACAAGTATGTGTGTTTATGTGCCAACAGTTGACCTTTACTCAAAATGACATCATAATAAATCTAGTTAGATTTGATTAATTTTACCGTTGTAAATTTTGTATGAAAAGTGTAGAGAAGTTTTACTTCAATTTTGTTTTGTTTTGTTTTCCATCATGTGGGGTCTTATTTAAAAGGTCTCATTGAGTAAAACACGATTTTTAAAATAACATCTATTATATTTGATGTGTTCTAATTTTACTTAAGCAAATAAGTCATTCTGAATCGTTTGACTCTAAAATTGGAACAAGTATGTGTGTGTGTCTGCATATGTGCCAAAACTTGACCTTTTCTCAAAAGGACATCGTAATAAATCCGGTTACATTTGATTAATTTTATCATTGTAAGTTTTGTATGATAAGTGGAAAGAAGTTTTACTTCAAATTTTCTTTGTTTCGTTTTTCATCGTGTGGGGTCTTATTTAAAAGGTCTTATCCAGTACAACACGATTTTTAGAATAATATTTACTATATTATGATGTGTTTCAATTTTACTTAACTAAATAAGTCATTCTGAATCGTTTGATACTAAAATTGGAACAAGTATGTGTATATGTTCTAAAAGTTGACCGTTCCTCAAAAGGACATCATAATAAATCCGGTTACCTTTAATTAATGTCATCATTGTAAGTTTTGTATGACAAGTATAAAGAAGTTTTACTTCAATTTCTTTTTGTCTTGTTTTTCATCATGTGGGGGCTAATTTAAAAGGTCTTATCGAGTACAACACGATTTTTAGAATAATATTTACTATATTATGATGTGTTGTAATTTTACTTAATTAAATAAGTCATTCTGAATCGTTTGACACCAAAATTGGAACAAGAAGTATGTTTGTGGGTATATGTGTGCTAAAAGTTGACCTTTTCTCAAAAGGACATTGTAATAAATCCGGTTAAATTTAATTAATTTCATTGTTGTAAGTTTTGTATGAAAAGTCTAAAGAAGTTTTACTTCAAATTTTCTTTGTCTCGTTTTTTAACATGTAGGGTGTTGTTTAAAAGGTCTTATCGAGTATGACACAATTGTTAGAATAATTTTTATTATATTACGATGTGTTCTAATTTTACTTAACTAAATAAGTCATTCTGAATCGTTTGACACTAAAATTGGGACAAATATGTGTGTGTGCCCGTATATGTACCAAAAGTTCACCTTTACTCAAAAGGACATCGTAATAAATCCGGTTACTTTTGATTAATTTTATCGTTGTAAGTATTGTATGAAAAGTGTAAAGAAGTTTTACTTCAAATTTTCTTTGTCTCGTTTTTCACCATGTGGAGTCTTGTTTAAAAGGTCTTATCAAGGTCAACACGATTGTTAGAATAATATATATTATATGACGACATGTTCTAATTTTACTTAACTAAATAAGTCATTCTGAATCGTTTGACGCTAAAATTGTAAGAAGTATGTGTGTGCCAGTATATGTGCCAAAAGTTGACCTTTACTCAAAAGGACATCGTAATGCATCCGGTTTCATTTGATTCATTTCATTGTAAGTTTTGTATGAAAAGTGTAAAGAAGTTTTACTTCAAATTTTCTTTGTCTCATTTTTCATCATGTGGGGTCTTATTTAAAAGGTCTTATCGTATACAACTCGATTTTTTAATAATATTTATTATATTATGATGTGTTTTAATTTTACTAGGAAATAAGTCATTCTGAATCGTTTGACACTAAAATTTTAACAAGTATGTGTGTGTGTCTATATATGTGCCAAAAGCTATCTTTATTCTAAAGGACTGGTAATAAATCCGGTTACATTTGATTAATTTTATCGTTGTAAGTTTTGTATGAACAGCGTAAAGAAGTTTTACTTCAAAATTTTTTTGTCTCGTTTTTCGTCATGTGGGGTCTTATTTAAAAGGTCTTGTTGAGTACAACACGATTTTTAGAATAATATTATATCATGATGTGTTTCAATTGTACCTAACTAAACAAGTCATTCTGAATCGCTTGACAATGAATAGAAAAAAGTGTTTGTGTGTCTGTAGTACTAATCATATGAAAAATCGTGCCTTGAGGGAAAGTACCACTTACACCTGTTGTTAATTTGTTAATAATAAAAAAAAACTAATTAAATGCATTTGTACTAAAAATATTGAAGAAACGCTCACTATGCATATCCAAGCCTAAGTAAAAACGTATGAAAAAGCATTGTGTTAGGTTCGGTCCACATGGCAAGCACTCGTGATTTTCTTTTTTAGAATTTGTCAAATATAACTAATATCTGTTTATTATCACAATTTGTAAAGTTGCTAAAACTCAATTTTCATTGATTATTTAATTTATTTTTACTATTGTCATTCACACCTGTTTTTTTTTTTTTGCAGCAACAACGAATATAAAGAACTCGATTACAAATAACCCGACTGCATTATGTATTTGGTGATGATTTTAATTCAGAGAAGCAATCAGGCCAAAAATGATGAAACAAAGACTTAATCTTAAAATATGCAAAGGCTTAGACTTAAAATATGCAACTGGACAAGCTTATTTTTTTATTTATATATACAAGGTACCTGGAATAAGAATATAAGTAAGATTTTATAAAAATATATTTAAGGTAAATGATAGTGACTACTTGACCTGAAAAGGGATACATTAATTATCCTTTTTTAAGTTTTCTGAATAATATTTCAATATTATATTTGATAACGTTTTGTTAAAATATAATAATGTTAATCGATGTTAATGCATATTAGCCTTTTAGAAAATGCTTTTATACATTTTTTGTATTTTTTAAAATTTTTATTTGACTTAAATGAAATTCTTCTGGCGTTTTTTGCTAAAATGCATCATTGTTATATCGTCTGTAATTTTCAATTTCATTAATATGAATGTTTTTGGAAAATTAATGCAAAATGAAATAAGCCCGTGACTCGCTTTGCATCATTTAGTTTAAATCTATGACAAAGAAATTAACTAACTAAGTAACTAAGAATGATTTGATAAAATCTTTAACTTGCATTACAATTTGCTAATGTGATTAATACTAATAGTCTATTTTATTTTCAAAATTTGTTTTCACTAAATCCAAAAAGTAATTATAAAAAAGGACAGTATTGAAACACATAAAGTACTAATTTTTATAAACAAAAAATAAACTATTAAATTAATAAGGCAATTCTGTCCTAGCAGAGCTTATAACATAGAGTTATGCTTGTTTCTTGGTAGTGAAAACTGTGTCTATCTATTTGCTGCGCCATCAGGCACATTTTACATATAAACAAGCAAGGAAGAATGTTATGATAACAGAATCTTCAATGATGCAGCTATAAGATTCTTCCTTGCTTGTTTATATTTAAAATGTAAAAAGTATTGTCATGGCAACGCTATGCTATGCTTGTTTCTTGGTAGTGAAAACTGTGAAAATGTCTATCTATTTATTTCACATATTAATCAAGCAAGGAAGAATGTTATGATAACTGCATCATCGAAAATTCTGTTATCATAACATTATTCTTTGATTGTTTATATGTAAAATACGCCTGATGGCACAACAAATAGACATTTTTACAGCTTTCACTACCAACAAACAAGCATAAAATAGCGTAGCCATGACAACGCTATGTTATTGCCTCTTTTGCGCCAGAATTGCCCCATCAGTTTACGTGACATTTGTGTAATATGCAAAAGAAAGTTTATGAAATAACTTGGTTTACTTGTAGACAAAAAAAAATTTTGATGAGTTTTAGTCCTAGGCTGATATGCATTAACGGGTTACCGTGGTTCTCAACCTGTGGGACGCCAGGCATCAGGGCGACGCGAGTTTTTTTCTTGGTAGTAAAAACTATAAAAACGACTATTTGCTGTGCTATCATTTTCACAGTCTTCAATTCATGACAACGCTATGTTATGGGCTCATTTACGCCAGAAAATCTCTGAAATAACTTGGCTAATATGCATTAATGGGTTACCGTGGTTTTCAACCTGTGGGACGCGACCCATCAGTAAGCGTACAGCTCCAAAATACTATTTCCAAAAAAATAAACGTTTGAAATGATAACTAAATTAAGGGGGTTGTTCTTTTTTTGTTACAAAACATGCAAGGTATTTGTTTTTGTTTTTCTCGAAATATGTATTTATCATAAAGACATGCGGTTTTTTTTTAAACAAAAATTACAAAATCATAGAATATTAGGAAATTTTTTTTTTTTTCGCCGTCATTTTTTAACCAGGGGGCGCCAAAGTGGAAACAAAAAAAAACGAAACTACGTTGAAGAAGAAGTTTGAATCCAGTCCCCCTACCAAAATGAAAGAAAAAAAACAAGAAGGAAACAAATGGCAGCTATTTAAAAAAAAGTGTCCAAAAAGGCCTTTGTTTTGGGACGAGAAGGTTCGCAAATTTTTTTGCGTGATGTTATCAAGTTGTTTGAGGTAGTGGGACTAGGTATTACAGTTTTGAACAAATTAAAAAAAATGCAAGTCGAACCGACTTGTAGTTTTTTTTTTAATTTGTGGCACCACATTGAAAATAGCCAATTTGAGAAAAACGTATTTAAAGTTTTTAATATAATGTACTAAATACACCATTTAATTTAATGTACTAAATACACCATGGTGTTCAAAGATGCTGACACATTAAAAAGGTCATGTGCATGAGGTATTATAATGAAAAAGAGAGCAGCTGGAATACAATAGCTCGCGGAACGATAAAAAAACGCTTTCAGAGGATCACATGTATAGAGATATATATATCTATAACTTATTCAAAAAAATAGATATTGAGATGATTTTTTTTCATAATATCAAAAAATCTCAAAACCGAAACAAAAAAATATAAAAAAAGAACAACCCCCTTAATAAATACCTATTTATTGTGCATATTTTTTACATAATATATTAACTATAATAATAGTATATTAACTTGTAACCAGATAAAATGAGTATTTATGAAATTAGATTGCTAAAAAAAACAAGATGGCGGTTATACGAAAAGGTTGGAAACCACTGGGTTAAGTAGTCTTTTACTTACACTTGGTATGAATAACCAAATATTAAATCCTTAAGTACTATTTTACTATAAATAAAACCTCAAAGACAATGAAATAATTTTATTTAACAAAATCGTCTCCACAGAACTCATTTACCACTAGTTAAATTAAATGCAAATAAAAGTGATGTTAAATTTACACTTTCAACATTTTACTAATATTATTCGCTCGTGTCTCAAACATCCTGAACACATCTTGTGATAAATCCTCCATAGTTGTGTATCTGCATTTATTAAAATCATAAATATCAATAAAAAATGTGTACATTTCATCTTTGAAATACTGGCACATGGTCTTCAGCTTTTCATCAGGTCCCAAGAAGCCCCAAGCCATGAAAGGGATTATTTGTTCTGATAAATTATAAAAACGTGACCGAAAACCATCTGAGTACTTTAACATGCAACGTTTAGCTTTTATAACGGACCATACGGCGGTGGTTAAGGCTGATTCTTTGATGCCATTTGAAAGCCAACGGTTTTGCACAACCGAGACTACTGAGGATGGTGGTTTTTCTAGATCCTCAAAAGCATCCAGCAGGATATAATCTAAAGCTACGTCGTAGAAAGTAATCATTTTAACATTACGTACAGCAAGTTCTTCTTCAATCAACTCATGATTACTCGTGTCTTCAACAAACTTAATCATGTCTTCATAACTTGCTAAAAACCTTTCAGGATCTTTTCCTCCAAATACTAATAAATTCGCCAAAATCTCTTGCATTGTTTCAATAACCCACAACCGTTTTGTTGCATCTTTAAGTATATACTGGAATGCTAATCGAATACAATGTAATTTAACAAGATACTCGTTATCAGAACTGCATCGTACAAACTCTGTGCGTAAACTTCGATAAGGAATCCCTTTTTCTAACAACAACTCTTGATTCTGTCTATAAAACTGTAAAGTCTCACTCTCAAAAACATCATTAAACTCATCCAAGTCTGCGACTTCGTCTTCGGCTGACACAAATGAATCATCCGTAGAAGTGATAATGGATCCATAAACTGAGCGCATGGACTGATAGTCGTTCAAGAATAGGGCTTCATACTGTTCACGTAGTTTGTAAGCGTTAACTAGTAACAGTTTGATGTTATCGTGGAACTTATCATCCTCTACAGATTTTAGTTTTAATGTTTGTTCCCACAATTTAATACTTTGATTTAAAGCTGAAAAGCCTTTAGTAGACAAATCATTTATGGATAAAAGGTTGTTGTCTATGTCACTTAATGTGATGGTACTTTCGGAGGATCGACTTTTTTTTATAGTTTTGGGGGAACAAAAAATAGCCTTTATGAAGCATACAGCTTTAGGACTACTTTTTTTACGTTTTTTCTTCCAGTAATGTGAGAATAAGCTGAAAGTTATTACGCCTGCAGCTAGGACTGTTAAGGTTTGAAATGTACCACATTTGTTAAACAAAGGTTTTAATTTAAAGTTATTAATTAGTAAAGACATTTTAGAATATTTTTTGTATAGGTTATGATTGATTAGTTTTAATCATATTTTGGTATTTAATTTGTAAATAAATGCAGTAATTGAATTGTAAAGTGAGTTTTAACCATTTTAACAAACAATTTTACATTTTAATTAACTTATTTACATTTTTTTTAATTTTTACACAACTTTTGACAGTTTTGGATAACTTTCACCATAGAACACTAAACGTCAAACTTATATAGACCAACTTCAAATATAACAAAAACCATAGAGAATTTGAATCGCTTATTTCGGGATACTACATGCGCAAGATCATAATAAATATGCGCAAGAGCGTTCAGTGAATGGAGAGTTTTTTTTTATTGTTTTAATAATTTTTACAACTGTCCTAAAACGCATAACAAGTAAAATATTTAACATAAAACTGAAGGCGTCGGTAAAACACAAATTATATGACCATTGCCAGTGATTTGTCGAAGGTCTTATCTATTGTTGATTAATGCAGAAGAAATTTTCTTTTTAATCGGGCTTTGGTAGAGTTGTTCTGGAGTTTTCTCGCGAGCAAGTTCGGGTGTTCAGCTAGACGATTTTTATATTTGTGTGAGTAAGCGATTATTTCATCCTTAATTGTGCTAGTGCCTGTGTCTTTGTGTATTAATCAATTTGAAACATATTTTGATGATTTCAAAATTTCTTTTAATAACTCGTTTTGAAATCTTTGAATTATTAAAGCGCTCGAGTTGGAAGTTGATCCCCATATAGCTGTATTCCGTATGTCCAAATTGGTTTAATGATGGCTTTATAGAGGTAAATTTTATTATGCGTGTCAAATTTTGATTTTCGTCCGAGGAGCCAATAATATCATAGTAAACAAGACAAGTAAACATAAATCTTCTTCTGGCTTTTTCAAGTTGCTTCCTATTTTTTTTTAATGTGTTGCTTTCTCTTTTTCTTAATTCTAGATATTTGACTATATCTGTTTGATCTATAATTTTGTTATTGTCATTAAGCCTCACTGCAGGTCAAGTCCCTTTGCAAAGAGTGAAAGTGATTAGATAGCAAAATTACTATTAAATGAAGAGATAATAAAAAAGAATGTCTCGTAAATGAATTTTAATCCTAAGAATTTGGTTTTTCCTCAATTTTGATATAAATATGTTCTTTTAAATTTTTACATTACTTGTCATTCTTTCTAAATTTGTCATTCCATTTTTAATACTCCTGTGCTTTTCTCTTCTTAGGTTTTAAGTTTTGAATATTTTATTACTAGTCATTAAGTAGTTAATATAATAAGTTATTTCTCTTTAATTCGTAGCACTTTAAAAATATGTCTGTAATATATTTTTGTTAATATTAGTCAGTTATTAACTTCCCGTTGGGTATACCCAAAAAAATTCATTTTTGATTTTCGGCCTATTGATTTGGATTTTCGGCGAAAATAAAATTTTTTGCATATGTATCTTCACGTTTTGAAGGTTTCTGAACATTTTGGCATACCTCAGAAAAAATGGATGTGTGCGTGTGTGTGTTTTGTATGTCCGCATTTTTGATCTACCGATTTGAATGGTTCAAAAAACATTCGATTTATATTGATATAGAGATGTGCTGACTAGTTTTTGGCAAAGGCAGGTCCAGCCATTACGGAGATACAGAGCTAAGACTGCCCAAAATAGACATCGAGACCTTGAGTGAACGGAACATCCGATTTGAATGGTCTAAAAAACATTCAGTTTGTAATGTTGGGGAAAAGTGGTAATTAGTTTTTGGCAAAGGCACATGCAGCCGTTTTAAAGATACGGAGCTAAACGCACAAGAATGGCAGTTTTTGAGAGAACTAATCATCCGATTTGAATGATTCAAAACACTTTCTACTTGTGTTAACAAAACAATTCGTTTTGGATTTTTTTTTCAATAATGTTTTTTTTTGTATATTGAAAATAATTCAGATTTTGATTTGAATTCTTGCTAAAGTTGTAAAGCTCACTTATATACCTTAAATAAATAATTTTAACTTTACAATTCAGTTTATATAATTCTTCTAAATATTAAACAATGTTACAGTATTTATTTATAATAATCTATTTGAAAACATTTAATATTCCTCGAATATTTCGTTACGGTACGGGAAGTTCTAGCAATTAAGGCACGATGCCATACACCATTAGTTTCTGTTTAGTTTACAATTCATCAAAAATATGTCTGTGATATATTTGAAAATACCTTTTGTATTTCGTATGTTTTGTTCTTATTTCCAATATTGAAATTTATTCAGGTTTTTTGATTATATGAACAAATGTAAAAGTCATGCCAGAGATCATTATGCTTATTTATCTATGCCAGGGATTAATTTACAAAATGTACATGTGCTGCCATCTAATCAAAGTTTAACATTTCAATGAAGGTAATGTCAAATCGCCAGACATAGCGATCTATTTATCTATGCTTATTTATCTATGGTTCTGTGTTCTGTGTTACATAAAGTTTGAGGTTAAATTGTTTTCATCTGACGTTTATCATAAAAATGCTCTAAAAATGTTGGCAAATAATATCTTCCGTGTCTCAAATATCTACAAAAGGCTTTACACATTAAGCACAAAGCAGCCTGTAGCATCCACAATCGATTTATACAGCAATGTCTTTTTCACGCAATCTAGAAACACAAGTTTTTTCAACAAATTACCGGCGGAGTTCCTGTGGAAAGGATGCACTTCTGTCAGTAATGCCGGCAAGAAACGAGGACGTGGTAAAACAGTTAACAAAAAGAATATAAAAAACCTGAACAGGGGGCAAATAATAGGTGTGGGGAAAGGTAATATGATCTGGCCTGGTTTGTCAGCCCCTATCATCCGTGGACGTGAACTTGTGCAACAACAAAAGCTTCCTGAAGATCCTGACCGTGATAATAAACTAGCTAAACTCCGAGATGAGCACCAAAGTTTTCGTTCTATCAAATTGAGTCCCATCGAAAGAGGTTGGTCAGGTGCAAGGCTTCCGGGTAGAAGTGTAGGGCCTCCAGATGCTGTAGGCGAAGACGCTTTTGAGAACTTTGATACCAAAGTTTTAGAAATGAAGCAAGTTTTTCACATGTCTGGTACACTTGGGCGTAAACGTTGCCAATCCATTTTTGTGGTGACAGGTAACGGACAAGGTTTGGCCGGTTTTGGTTTAGGTAAAGCTGCTGACACGAGAGCAGCTTTGCGCAGGGCTAAAAACAGAGCTGGACAAAAACTTATGTATTTTGAATTATACAAAAATCATACTATATTCCATGATTTTTTCACGTGCTTTGGTAAAACCAAAATATTTGTTACCAAAAAGGCTGAAGGCCATGGTTTGGTATGTCACCGTGCCATCAAATCAATTTGTGAAGTCATTGGAATAAAAGACTTACATGCTAAAGTTGAAGGCTCCACAAACTTACAAAACATTGTCAAAGCCTTCTTCTTAGGCTTACTGCAACAAAAAAGCCACCAAGTAATCGCTGAAGAAAAGCGATTACATTTAGTAGAATTTTCTAAAGGCAACAATGAGTTTCCTGTCGTAGTAGCCTCTCCTAAAAATCCTAGGTCTGCAGAAGAAATTAGTCGTGATGAAGTTATAGATTATAATAGGTATATTATGAATGATAAAGTTGTTTTGAAAAAGAAAAAATATCCACCGTTCTACGCTAGTATGCCGTCTCATACTTTATATTTGAAGAAATGTGAGAAGAGGAGGAACCACGATCTGGTTAGGCTAAATATGTTGGTGGAGCATGGTGAATTAAAGAGTTTTATGACGGATAAGTACCCTGAGTGCAGGCCTGGTTATGCAAAGAAGGAAGAATAATGGATAATTGTAAATAATTTGTTAAAGTAATGCAAAATAATATAAATATAAAGTCATTTTTATAAACGAGAGGTATTGTTACTATTTTTATTCAAGTGCAATCATAAAGAATTATTTAAATTGCCTGACTTCTTAATTTAAATTATATATATATATATATATATATATATATATTACTTTTTTTTTAATATAACTACATGTTATTTATCCAAGATGTTTTTTGCAAAACATGTGGATTATCAAATTCAATATAAATATATGGAAAGCAACAGTTGAATATTATTCATAATTTCACAATATATTTAAACATTATCTTTAAATAGTTTAAGATTAAAATTTTCTATGGAATAAACACAATAAAATCTTTTTTATTTAAATATTGTTTGAAAAACATTTAAATTAAAATTTGTACTTTTTATTACTACTAATAAACCGTTATAATTCTACATACTAATAATATTTTAGAAATAATGCCCAGAACAATCACCAAAAATAATGAATAATATTAAATAAAAAACTAGTTGTAGGTGGCATTTTGTCTTATGGTAATATGCATGAATTGTCCAATATGTGGAATTAATTCTGCTTGTTGTCATGGCAACGCTATCTTATGCTTGTTTCTTGGTAGTGAAAACTGTGAAAATGTCTATCTATTTGCTGTGTTCAGGCATATTTTACATATAAACAAACAAGGAAGAATCTTATAACTGCATCATCTAAGATTCTGTTATCATAACATTCTTCCTTGCTTTTTATATGTAAAACACGCCTGATCACACAGCAAATAGATAGACATTGTCACAGTTTTCACTACCAAAAATCAAGCATAACATAGCATTGCCATGACAGAGCTATGTTATGAGCTCTGTTATGGCAGAACTGCCCCATTAATCAATAATAGTTTTTAGTTTCGTATATGATTTATATGTTTACCAATCTATCTGTCTCTATACCCGTATTCCCTTTTATCTGTTTACCTGCCTACCTTTCTACTTGTTTGCTAGCTTGCCCTGTCTATCAGTCTATCTGTCTTTATGCCACTTTTTTCACTCTTTTACCCGATTAACTGTTTACCTGTCTGTCTATGTGCCTTCCTGCTTAACAGTCTACCAGTTACAACTCGCAACATTTTCTGCACCCTTTTCCCTATGTTTCCGAAACAACTACACCTGTCTTATTGAAAAATTAATCAGGACGTCTCAATCAATAGGAATCAAATTATAGATAAAAGAAGAGTATATGCATAGATATATCATAGAAGAGTATATGAATAAATGGATATGAATCGAATGTTTTCTTGAATCATTCAAATCAGTAGATTTGTACAACGGAAATCGTGGATGCAAATTGGTATCCAATCCACACAAAACACACACAATCAGTTTCTTCTATGGTGAAAATGTTCAGGAGCCTTTGAAACGTAAAGACATGCAAAAAAATTCATTTTTAAGTTAATAATGAACAAAAAAGCACACACAATTAAGAAGAGGCTTGTGCAAGGGTCATGTTTATGAAAAATAGTTATATATTTAAATTTTATTTGAAAAATTAAACCAAAATTGAGAATGAATTAAACCTAAACTACAATATTAAAAACTGAATTCTTTTTTATAAATGTAGATCTTTCTAAATTACCTATCTTAATTACCTTACCTTAATTATTCTTATTTAAACAATTAACTTTCCATAGGGTAAATTATTGTAATCGCAAAAAAATCGAAAATGAAAATTTTTGCATATCTTTACGTTTCAAAGGTTTCTGAACATTTTGGCATACTTAGAAAATATAGATGTATGTGTGTGTGTATGTTTGGATACAATTTTTTGTCCACGATTTCAAGAGCACGGATCATCCGATTTGAATAAATAAAAAACATTCGATACGTATTGATGCGCAGATGTGGTGATTAGTTTTTGGCAAAGGCAGGTCCAGCCATAATTAAAGCAGAGACCAGCGGTTCCGAAGGTACGAGGTAAAAAGTAACTAGTATGGAAATTTTGAGAGAACGTAGTCTCTGATTTGAAAAAATAAAAAAACATACGATTTGTATTGATGCGGAGACGTGATGGTTTAGCTTATGGCAAGATTCCCAAGATATTTGGTAAAAAATAACAAGAATTGCAATTTTGAGAGAACGGAGTATCCGATTTCAATAATTCAAAAAACATTTTACTTGTATTGTCAAGATGAAAAACTGATAAAATTTTTGGGAAGGCAGGTCTAGCGGTTTCGGAGATCTAGTAAAAAAAGTAAAATAAAATGCCATTTGGCGGTCAAAAATGATCATAAGGCATATGCACATCAAATTATCAGTTATTTTATGGAAATTTGAATAATGTTTATCAATTTTCTTTACACTTTACATTTTTATGGGTTCCGTTATTTGGTGTAACATCGTTTGTGTGTAAGACTGCGACGCGGCGGTTACGCGCTTTGATATTTTTAAAATAAAGTTCAAAACTTTCAAAATATAATAAAAATTATTTTTTTTAAAAAAAGTTTTTTTTTCAAAACAGTAATTTTTTCAAAGATTATAAATAAAATGTAATCTTTTCAAAAAAAAATAATTTTTGGTACGGCAAGTTCCAGCAATTTGCCTTTAAACGCGATGCCATACACCACTAATTTTTAACATCTCATTTCACATTTTTCACATCACATTTTTATATACCTTTACGTTTCAGAGGTTTCTGAATATTTTGGCATACCTTAGAAAAAATGTATGTATGTTTGTGCGTGTGTGTATGTGTGTGCGTGTGTATGTGTGTTCGGATACAAATTTTCGTCGACGATTTCGGGAACACGGATGAAGCGATTTGAATAATTCAAAAAACATTCGATTCGTATTGGTAAGGAGACTTGCTGATTAGTTTTTGACGAAGGCAGGTCTAGCCGTTCCGAAGATATAGGACAAAAGGTGCAAAAAGCGGTAATTCAGTTTTTAAGAGAACGGAGCATCCAATTTGAATAATTCAAAAACATTTTACTTGTATTTACAAGATGAAGATCTGATCAAATTTTCATGAAGGCAGGTCTAGCGGTTTCGGAGATCTAGTAAAAAAAGTAAAATAAAATGCCATCAGGCGGTCAAAAATGATCATTAGACATATGCACATCAAATTATCAGATATTTTATAGAGACTTTAAAGTATATTTTTTTTTTACATTCCTATGGATTCCGTACCAATGCTTATCCGTTAGACGGCGCCGCTGCGCTTACGCGCTTTGATATTTCATCTCTATGCAGTTAAAGCAGTACGATTGCCTTGAAAAAAAGTTCAGAATTTCCAAAATATTTCAAAATACACTTTTCTTCAAAAAGTCTTTTTTTCAGAACAAAGTTAATTTTGGTCAAAAATTTATAGTTTCTCAAAAATCTAATTTTTCAGAGTAATTTTTTTTTCAAAAATGTTAATTTTTGGTACGGGAAGTTTCAGCAATTTGCCTTAAGGCACTATGTCATAAATCATTAGTTTTTTTTTATTAATTTATAAAAAATATTTTTTTCAATACATAAGCTCTTATATTTTGTTTATAAAATACGAATAATAAAAGTTTCAGTGCTTATGATAATTTGAATATTTCATTACGATACGGGAAGTTCTAGCAATTTGCCTTAAGGCACGGTGCCAAACTCTACTAGTTTAATAATTATTTTATTTCATTTAAAGTTATTAGATCAGGGCTTCTCAAACTTTTGTCCTTCCGGACAGCATTTACGATGGCGAGTTTTTTTGGCGACCCCACTTATGATTGCGAGTTTTTTGACGACCCCATATAAATATAAATATAAAATACCGACATATAAAAAATTAAATTAATATTGAAATGGTGTATTTATTTGGTAAAAATATACATATACATATGAAAATATATAGCTTGAGAATTTGTTGAGAACATACAAAAATCAAGACATGGTGTTATAAAATGATATAAACATTTGTCATTAAAATCTCTCGCGTCCCCATAGGTTAAGCAGCCCTGTATTAGATTATTAAAGTTTAACACCTTTTTCAAAGATGGCGCCATAATTTCATTCATCTTTCAAACGTCAAACTTAGTCACACTTCTCATAACCTCAACAGTTCGGACTAATAAAACCACCGATAAATAATTAATAATAAAATATATTTTAATATTCAACAAGTGTCGAAATAATAATTCAGTTATGTAATAATTCAAGTGCCATCGTGTAGTGAAATGATAATTGTTAAACAGTAAGTTTTATGGAAATGAAATGTATTGATTTGCTTTGCACAATTTGACAAATTTTTAAATGACTTATAAGGTATAAATTGTTTGGTTTTATTATGAATTATGTAATATTTATATGCTTTTGCGATTTATTTATAAATGATACTTGTTCCCAGGATAAATTTGCAACAATACACACATATAACCTTAATGAATCATAATCACTTTTTCTACCTTTAATAAAGTCTATTGTGTTGTTTTACAATTTCCTTCTAATAACAAAACTTATGCATATTCTTAAATGACAATTTTAAATGAGATTTTCATATAGGGAATGTGGGAAATGACATGATATATTGTTCTTCAATATTCATTTATTTAATGATATAATCAGTCTCGAACGTTTTTACTCATCTTAGGTTTATCGACTACATATAAGCACATATATGGATGTGCATATTTTTCTACATATATACATGTATATATACACACAAAATTATTAAAGGATTAATCGTTTTTAAATACTTTTAAAAAATTTAGATATGAATCATGAATGATATTATCTTTCTGATCTTTCTGATCTTTTATTAACACAATTTGACGAATTAAAAAAGATTAAACTGCTTTCAGAAAAAAGTCTTTTCAAAGTGCAATCTTCTCTATATAAAATATTGGGTTCAAAGGTAACCTATGTGAATTTTCAACGGAATGTTGGACAAAAGTGCTTTGGAAACTTCGGCTTTTATGATGAATGACGCTTAATTCATGTTGTCTAATTTTCTTATGGATGTATTGTGATGTTTGGCCAATGTATTGTTTTTGACAATTTTTGCAAGATATTGAATAAACTATGTTAGTATTAAATTTAGGAGGGGTGGTGGTACCAGTACTACAGTTTTTTAATAATGCAATCTAATTACAAAAACCATTTTGTTTATATTGTACGAATAAAATGATGTAAGACAATACTGAGATGGAAATTTTTAAAAAGGCCTTTTAATAATGCGGGAACTATAATAACATATATATTAAAAAAGAATGCATCTAATTACAAAATCCTTTATCTTTGTAGTACAGATAAAATGATATATAAGATAAGGCAATGCTGAGATGGAAATTTTTAAAAATGCAGTTTACAAAGTTTTTACTTATCTAGATAAATTCATCGACTACCAGTAACATAGTTTTTTAATTATGTAGGAACTATAATAACATATTTATTAACAAAACATGCATCTAATTACAAAAACCTTTATCTTTGTAGTACAGATGAAATGATATATAAGATAAGGCAATGCTGAGATGGATATTTTTAAAAATGCAGTTCACAAAGTTTTTACTTATCTAGATAGATTCATCGACTACCTGTAACATAGCCTTTCAATAATGCGGGAACTATAATAACATATATATTAAAAAAAATGCATCTAATTACAAAAACCTTTATCTTTGTAGTACCTACAGATAAAATGATATATAAGATAAGGCAATGCTGAGATAGAAAATTTTAAAAAGGCAGTTCACAAAGTTTTTACTCATCTTAGATTTATTGACTACCAGTAACATAGTCTTTTAATTTTATAGGAACCATAATAGTCCAGTCATGATAGTAAGTTCACCTCGAAATTCGAGATAACCTGCTGTAAGTCTGTAAATACTTGTATATTGACACCCTAAAAATTGTCTCAAAACCTACATATGGCAGGGTGCCAATACTATATGTAGGTTTTGAGACAACTTTTAAATGTCAATATACAAGTATTTACAGACTTACAGCTGGGTATCTCCAATTCCGAGATTCTTACCTAATTTAAGCTTAAATGACTGAACTATAATAACATATTTATTAGAAAAAATCATCTAATTACAAAAACCATTTTGTCTAAATAGTACGGATAAAATAACATATGCGGTAAGGCAATACTGAGATGGAAATTTTTAAAAAGACAGTTCACAAAGTTTTTACTCATCTTAGATTCATCGACTACCAGTAACATAGTCTTTTAATAATGCAGGAACTATAGTTATATAGTTATTAAAAAAAAAAATGCATCTAATTACAAAAACCTTTATCTTTGTAGTACAGATAAAATGATATATAAGATAAGGTAATGCTGAGATGGAAATTTTTAAAAAGGCAGTCCACAAATAAATTGCTTGGTTTTATTTGAAACATCAGCATAGAAAGCATGGGCTCAAAGATAAAAGTCATTGCATTCTTTGTCGGGCTCAAATCGAGATAAGAAGTCTTTGCTAATCTCTTTATTTTACCGGTCGATCCTTTATGCTGGTTTTAGATGTAGTTACAGTAGAAGTTAGAAGCCAATCACCTTTGACTAGTTTAAATTTTCTTAATACCTTTTATAAACTACCCTGTACTGTCTTTGTGAAATAGTACTATGACATTTTGTCATAGACCTTATACTACATAGACTGTTAGTCCTCATATGTTTTCCATTGTATAAAGTGTACAAAGATAGAAGAGACTGTGACGTCACTTGCTGAGCGAACGTTGCCGACAATCGTGGAACTCTCCCAATTGATGAAATGCCATATGTCACATTTTTTATTTTGATAATATAACGGCAATTGTGATCACTGATAATTTTGTAAGAAATGATAATAATAATATTTATAGTCAATGCTATTTAAAAATTACCTGTGATAGTTTTATTTTAATAATGTGAAGGCAATTTTGGAAGAAATGGTATTAATAATGGTAATGGATATAATTGGTTCCTGAAACGTTACTAAAATTAGCCAATTTTTGAATAAAGTCACTGTGTTATTTTGTTTATATATAAAATATTGACCATATTTTTTCTTGAACTTGTTTTATACCTCAAAACTTTAAAACAAAACCAAGCAAAAAGAGACTTTTTACAATTCATTGTTTACATTTTAAGACCCAATTTTTTTTTCCAATTTTGGTGTTTTATATACTTACATACAAATGTACTTAAGTTTACTTACTTAAATGTCTTTAAGGCCTTCACTTAAGTATCTTATCGATTACAGAAAAATGATAAGAATAATATTTTCTGTAGCATCTACTACATCTTGTTTATATATTTTTTATGATCTTGATTTTTTGCATTACTATTTTAATTATTTTTTGTGGTTTTAATTTCAGTTAGAGCTTAATTAATTAAGAGTTTAGTTTTTCACCTTCCTATTATTAACCCTTATTTTGCAGAAGACTTTTTAGTAATTGAATAATTTGGATCTACAATAAATAATTTGTTCTATTTTTTAGAAATGCCTTCCTCATTGCTATTTGCCCTGAACACCGAAGGACGAATTTATGCACTTTCCACTTCTGGTTCAGTCTGGCGTGAGTTTTTATATCTGGGATTGGAATTTAAAAGACTCTCTGCTGTACCCCATTTTCTGTGGGCTGTGGGAGTCGATAGACAGGTCTATGTTCATGTCCATGGATTGGATGTACCTATAAGAGTGAAAGAGGAGACTTATGAAAATGAGGTAAAGTAAAAGGCACATTATAAATAAGTAAGGGAAGTTATACTAATCTTAATCAAATCCTGATATATTTCATTTTATTCATATCTTTTTTCATAGATCTATCTACATATCTAGTTTTTTCTCTCAAGCTATCTATATCTATTTTTCTCTCTCCTTTTCTCTATCACTTTTTTACTTTTTATCTATCTATCTATCCGATTCCAGCTCTATTAATCTATCTTTTTCAATTTTAACACTAGAAGAATTTAAATAATTAAATAGAATAAGATTCAGCAAATAATAATATAATTTTTAACAAATATAAATCAAATCAAATTAAACCCTGATATATTTCTTTCCATTCATATCTTCCCATCTACATATCTAGTTTTTTCTCTCAAATTATCTCTATCCCTTGCTCTATCACCTTATCATTTTTTCATCTATCTATCTATCCTTATCTCTCTCTATTTATCTATCTCTTTCAATTTTAACACTAGAAGAATTTAAATAGTTAAATAGAACAAGATTCAGCAAATTATAATATAATTTTTATCAAATATAAATCAAATCAAATTAAACCCTGATATATTTCTTCTATTAGTTTTTTCTCTCAAACTATATCTTTTTCTCTCTATCTTTTTTCCTCTATCTTTTTCTCTCTCTCTCCTTTTCTCTATCACCTTTTCACTTTGTCATCTAGGTATCCATCCTTTTCCTTCTCTATTCATCTATCCTTTTTTCTGTTGACACGCGAAGAATTTAAATAATTAAATAAAACAAGATTCAGCACATTATAATTATACTTATACATTATAATTATAATTATAATTAAACCCTGATATATTTCTTTCCACTCATATTTTTCTCTATAGATCTATTCTAATCTATCTAGTTTTTATTCTCAAACATCTATCTCTCCGTTCTTTTCCCTCTCTATTCATCTATCCCTTTCTCTTTTAACACTAGAAGAATTTAAATAATTAAATAGAACTAGCTGTAAGTGGAATTCCGACTTGAGGCAATTATGGCATCGTGCCTTAAGGCAAATTGCTGGAACTTCCCGTACCGTAACGAAATGTTCGAGGAATACTGAATGTTTTCAAATATATTATTATAAATATTGTAACATTGTCTAATATTTATAAGAATTATATAAACTGAATTGCAAAGTTGAAATTATCTAAAGTATAGTTGTAAAGTATATTAGAACTATAGTCAGAATTAAAAATAAAATCTGAATTATTTTCGATATACAAAAAATTAAAAAAAAAAAAATTGGAACAAATTTTTTTTTTCCAAAATCAATTATTTTGTTAAGACTAGCAGAAAGTTCTTTGAATCATTCAAATCGGACGCTTCGTTCTCTCAAAAACAGCCATTTTTTACACATTTAGCTCTGTATCTTCGAAATGGCTGGGCCTGCCTTTGCCAAAAACAAATAAACACTTCTCACAATCATTACTAATTGAATGTTTTTTAGATCATTCAAATCGGATACTCCGTTCTCTCAAAAAGTCGATTTCTATTTTCTGCACTCTTTGCTCCGTATCTCCGAAACGGCTGGACCTGCCTTTGCCAAAAACTAATCAGCTCTTTTCCCTATCAATAGGAATCGAACGTTTTTTGAACCATTTAAATCGGTTGATCCGTGCGCCCGAAAACGTGACTGGAAATTTGTATCCATACATACATACACACACACACACACACACATCCATTTTTTCTGAGGTATGCCAAAATGTTCAGAAACCTTCAAAACGTCGAGAAATGTAAAAATTTTCAATTCCGATTTTCGGCCCATTACAATAACTTACCCTACGGGAAGTTAATAGGATTCAGCAAATTATAATAAAAATTTTAACAAATATAAATTAAATCAAATTAAACCCAGATATATTTCTTCTATTAGTTTTTTTGCTCAAATTAAATCTTTTTCTCTCTCTACTTTTCTCTATCTCTTTCTCTATAACCTTTTCACATTTTTATTTATCTATCTATCCTTTTTCCTCTCTATTCATCTATCCCTTTCTCTTTTAACACTAGAAGAATTTAAATAATTAAATAGAATAAGATTCAGCAAATTATAATAAATTTTTTAACAAATATAAATCAAATCAAATTAAACCCAGATATATTTCTTCTATTAGTTTTTTCTCTCAAACTATATCTTTTTCTCTCTCTCCTTTTCTCTATCTCTTTCTCTATCACCTTTTCACATTTTTATTTATCTATCTATCCTTTTCCCTCTCTATTCATCTATCCCTTTCTCTTTTAACACGGGAAGAATTTAAATAATTAAATAGAACAAGATTCAGTAAATTATAATATAATTTTTATCAAATCAACTTAAACCCTGGTAATATATTTTTTATATTTATATTTTTCTCTATAGATCTATCTACATATCTAGTTTTTTCTCTCAAACTATCCTATCCTTTTCTCTCTCTTTTTCTCTATCTCTTTCTCTCTCTCCTTTTTCACTTTTTTATCCATCTATCCTTTTCACTCTCTATTAATCTATCTTTCTCAATTTTAACACTAGAAGAATTTAAATAATTAAATAGAACAAGATTCAGCAAATTATAATATTATTTTTATCAAATATGAATCAAATCAAATTAAACGCTGATATATTTTTTTCTATTTATATATTTCTCTAGAGATCTACATCTATCTACATATCTAGTTTTTTCTCTCAAACTATCTCTATTTTTTTTCTCTTTCTCCTTTTCTCTAACTCTTTCTCTATCTCCTTTTCCCTATCTCTTTCTCTATCACATTTTCACTCTTTTATTTATCTATCTACCCTTTTCCCTTTCTATTTATCTATCTCTTTCCATTTTAATACTAGATTATAATATAATTTTTATTAAATATAAATTTTATCTTTTTCAGCGATGGTTGCCCCTGGAAGGCTTCAGCAGTCGTCTGCTCCCAACCGATAGGTACCATTTCAGTTCTGTTGACGGACTTGTTGATCGTTCCATTGACCAAATCCGCTTGCCTTCGATGGCATGGCAGTGGGAAGGAGATTGGTATATAGATACAACATTAGATGGTAATAAAATCCCTAGTTTTTTAAGGCAGGAGTTTATAATTTTGGTAATTATTTTTATGTATTTAAGGTCAACCTCTTGAACATGATGGTTGGACTTATGCAGTAGATTTTCCAGCACAATTTGGACCAAGAAAACAATGGTCATCATGTGTTCGAAGAAGAAAGTGGTGCAGGAGAAGGAGATACAGTGCCATGGGTGCTTGGTGTGCTGTGGCACCTTTGCATAGAGATCCAACACAGGTAAAAAATGAGAGAGAGAGTGATAGAGAAAATGAGAGAAAAAGATATAGAGAGATAGAGATATATGGAAGATAGAGAGAAAAAGTGATAGATAGATCAATGTATTGAAAGAGAGAGATAGTGATAGAAAGTTAGATAGATAGAGAAAGAGATAAAGAGAGATAAAATGTGATAGATATATCAATTGAAAGAGAAATTATCAATTTCAGACTGATAGATAGAGAATGAAAGTAGAATAGGGAAAACTCCCATATGTTCTGTGTATCATTTGTTTCATGCAATCTTTTAGGAATCAGCTTTAGGAATTACACTTCAATAAAATTATATTACTTTAGCCTTAGACAATATTCTTCAAAAATTGTGTTGAGCAATATTTTGTATATTTATATTGTTTCAGGAGCCCTTTATAGATGTGTGCATTGGTGGCACAGAATTAGAAGGTGCAGCACCAGGAACTTTGCTCGTTTGGGCTGTTACTGCACAAGGAAGGGTATGTTAAGATAATGTCTTATATTATAGTATATCGTAAGATAAAGGATTATTTTTACAAGATATTCCTAAATAAACAAATGAAAGAAAATTATTTGTTTTGTAGAACATTTTAAGTAGTCATAGCTGATTTGAGCGAATATGTCTTACCAAATAAGATTTATTACAATCTGTTGTTATCATCAATCATTAATTGTATAAACTACTTATAGTATATTATTTTTGTATTATTTTTTATAGTTTACACAGAATATAAAAAGTGAAGTGTACATGTTTAGAAATAAATATATACAAGATTCATTCCTTTAAAAGCAATATAGTCAGCAATATAGTTTTTTGTCCCTGTTTTTACTCAAAAAAGATTGTTCATTCACTTAAAATATAAAATTAAATTTAATTATAAAATCGATCTTCAAAGAAAAAATATTAATTTATACATTTCCAATTATACTTTCAATCAGAATTACATAATGAAATAAAAGGAGAAAATCTCTACATTTACCCACAAATTAATACAAAACTATACCTAAATTAATTTCATATAGTATTTTATCTTATTCTCCATAGGCCAAGAATCATTCTTAACTAAATACTAGGATTTGTACAGATTTTTAAAACTCACTTAAAGTTAAATCTTTCATCTGTATTATTAATAATCTCTCAATTTTTTTTAGGTAATGTTCAGAAGTGGTGTATCTGCCACTTCACCAGAAGGAAGACGATGGACTTGTGTAGCTACACCAGCAGGTTCTGAGGCTACCAGAGTCAGTGTTGGAAGTACTGGACTGGTATGGGCCGCTTTGTGGTCAGGAAGGGCCCTGGCCAGGGGCGGAGTTACAAGAGATGCTCCCATGGGTGAGGAATATTAATGAACATAATTTAATATTCTTTGTAAGCAGAATAGATAATAGATTTTTATTATTAACTGATTAATGAAACAATCTGATATGCTGTCATTATCTTCTAGTAATTTTCTTTTGCTACATTTAAAATAACAATATGAAATACATATTGATTGGAAATTAAATTAATATAAGTATTTTTATAACATGCTGATTCAAAACTCTTTTCTTCGACAATTATTTTTACAAATTGTATCAATTTGTAACTGTTTTCTATAATTACTTTACTTAAATATAATTTTCTATAATTACTTAAAAATACTATGATTTTGTTTATATATACTACTACTTTTGGCACCCATAGATGTCTTTTTTTATTTTATATACAATTATTGTTATTATTTCTTTTATTGATTGTAATTAATCGATGTAGCATTGTCAGTCATTCATGTTCTTCATAAAATCAATTATGAATTATAAATAAGAAATGTTTGATGATTGATTATTATTGTTTGCAGGTGAAACCTGGTTAGAAGTCAAACCTCCTGGTGAAGGTTTGAAAATCACACAAGTAGCTGTTGGTTCAAATTCTGTTTGGTAAGAATTAATATAATTGACAAATTATTTAATAATAATTGTATTTGTTTTAATATTTTGAATAGTAACACAAAGTAAAATTTAAAGTAATAATTAAAATTACTTTCAATATAAAATCTGCACTTAGGTTTTCTAATATTTTTTTTTTTTTTTTGAGTCATAATTAGTTAAATTCATTTTTACCAAACAATAGTTTTTTAATTAATTTATTTTTGTTATAATTAACATTGTTTAATGCTGTATAATTGAATTGTATTATTGTAATGAGGATTTATCTGTTCTTCTGTTACCTGATTATGTAGAAGGCAAGGTATCACCATTTATCATGTTTATTTAAACATATACATTACTTTTAAATTGCATAATTTATTATCATATCAAAGACGTGCTGTTCTCCCGGTATTTGATTATGTGAAACAACAAGAACCAGCATTTGAAATGACCATAAAATGGAATTTGATTCTTGCTACTCTGATTCTTTCAACCCATAAGTTCAATCAAATTATTTTCCGTATTCTGTTTACAGTACTTTACTTAATTCAACAAAGTTCGTCGACATGTAATTGTTTTCATGGTACACAATTTTTTTTTTAAAGGAACAATATTGATATTCAAAGAAAAAGTCTGATTCCTTTCATTTTAATTAAAAAAACTTACATGTAGCCCTAGTAAGATATTATTTTATTAAACGTTTAAAACGGCCTTGTAAGAAGTTACCACTCAAAAAAAACTAGAGATTGTTTTTGTGGATTGATTGAACTATCTAAATTTGTTTTCTTTTTTTAGGTGTTTGACTTCTGATAAAAGAGTTTGGTTTCGAAAAGGCATTTCTCCTGGTGGCGGCGAAGAAGGTGCTGTCGGTGCAGGATGGGTCGAGATGGTTGGCTCGATGTCACAAATATCAGTTGCTAGTAATGATCAGGTGATTAATGTAATAGATGTAATAAATTGTAATAGATGTAATAAAACCTTAAATTGTATAATACTCACTAAACCAATATGACATGCATTACGTAACACGATATTACGGAATAATTACATAAATGTTACATAAATTGCGATCGAAAATATTACGTAAAAAAGTTGTGAATCCTGTTTCATACATGTTACATAAATATCAAAATTTTCCGAAACTTTTTGAAAAAAAATCAATGAATATCAAGTTTTTATAATTTTCAAACACTTATTTATGATTTTTAATTTTAGAGTAATTTTCATTTCAGTTTCCTAATGTTACTGTATGAAATATGTAACAAACATTACGTAGCATGATATTACGGAATAATTACAGAAATGTTACATAAATTGCAATTGAAAATATTACGTAAAAAAGTTGTGGATCCTGTTGCATATATGTTACATATATTAAAATTTTCAGAAACTTGATATTTTTGAAAAAAATATCAATGATTTTCAAGTTTTTATAATTTTCAAACACTTTTGATTTTTAGGATTAAAGTAATTATCATTTTAGTTAAGTAATGTTACTGTAAGAAATATGAAAGGTATATTACGTGATACAATATTACGTAACAATACATAAATGTTACATAAATTGCAATCGAAAATATTACATAAAGTTGTGGATACTGTTACATATATGTTATATAAATATCAACATTTTCTGAATCTTGATATTTTTGAAAAAAAGCATTGATTGGATAATAAAATTAATTTAATAACATTAGTAATAATCGGATATTCTATTTTAGATTCATTTTTAGTGAAAAAATGTATCGATTGGTTAGATATATTATTATCGGCTATTTTATTCAAGGTTTGGGGAATTGGAAGTGAAGACAGATGTCTGTACTTTCGATCTGGTGTAAGCGCTACCGATGCAACTGGTAAAAAATGGAGATGTGTCCAGGCCAAACTTCCAATGAGTAGAACACAGAGCATGGCATCTTTAGGTAAAAAAACTAAAAGGACTTGGTGATAATTTTTATATTGAAATGCAAAAAGTAATTACTTTACAGAATATTAATATTCTTGTTGTTTTCTAATTTTATTAACTTATTTATATTGATTTTACAACTCTATATTATTTAATCTGTAATAAATTTTTGTTTATTTGTTTCTAGCAAGTAATAATAGCAGACGTAGTGTCTCGGGAAGTCCTCGGGATAAGAAACACCACAGTCTAATGCAATTGGTAAATATCTAAAACAGCATAATAAATAAATATATATATATATATATATATATATATATATATATATAGTTTTGATAATTTTAATGAGAAAGTAAAGAAGAAGAGCTATATTTATTAGGAATAGAAGTTTGAATGAATGAATTTGAGCAAAATTAGGATTCTACAAATTCTAAAGTGAACTTTTTTGATAGGGTATTTGTATTAAATGTGTGCCTAAAAATTAATCTCTTATTGAGATATATTGTTTTAAATTGATTTTGAATTTGATTTATAAATATGATGTTGATTCATTGTCTTGTAACTTTAGCGGAAACTTTCTCCAAAATAACAAACAATACAATCATGGCAATTTACTATATAAAATAAGTCGAACTTTCTATTTATTTTCAAGAGTTTTTTATTTGAAAATGGATAAAAGGCAACTCATATTACTAAAAAATAAAATAATAGTAACTATGTTGTTTTTACGATAAAGAAATAATTATGTAGTAATAAATAATTAAGAATAATAATAGAATTTTTAACTGAACGAGAATGAAAGAAAAATTTATGTATCACCAAGTTGTTTTCTGATATCAACCAGTAAAAAGAATATCGTTTTTTTTTGAATAAGTTTAATGTTTGAAAACTAATTGAGTTTTCCTTCAAGTTCAAAAGAGAAATTTACATTTTTGGAGAAAAAAAATTACATTTTTGGAGAATATTCTCGTTCATTGTTGAAAAATTAACAGAATTATCAATATTTGACTGTCTCTCATGAGAATTGAAATAAATTGTGGATTTTGTTTGTCTCATGTTTTTACAACAATTAAATCTAATGTATTGAATTCAGTTACCTTTCAATTATCTCAATATATTTCCATTTTAGAATAGAACCAACACCTTAGGTAGTACCCCCGAGCAACATGCTGCGTTCTCATTGCAATTGAATGATCTCGAAGAGACTTCTCATTCAGCACCTACTGAACATTTATTACTGCACGAAAATGTTGAAAATCAAGATAAACAAAAGTGTCAGACGAATCAACAAACTAATAATGTCAGGAAAAATAATGCTAGGTAAGTTTATCTAGAATATAAATAATACACCAGCTGGTAAAAGTTTTCTGCGGGATAGTTGAATGAAATTTTTTATTGAGAGATATAAAGCTACTAATCATTTATAGATTATTATATAAATAATATTATTTCTGGTTCTTTACAGGCCAAGTTCAATGGTTGAGGAGTTTTCTGTGACTGCAAAACATTTTGAAACACAATTGAAAAATCCAAGAGCTTGGAGTCCTGTCAGAAGTGTTGGTTCAATGGTAAGTGATCTTTGTATTGGAAATTTGGTATATTATGCTGTATTCTAACAAATTAGTCGACGTTTTCTAAAAAAACCGCTGGATCTATTTAAAAAAATTAAAAGCCATTCAATTAATTTGTAAAAAGATATTTGCCCACCTCTTAGGCCACAATTTTGAATTGATTTTAAAAATTCCAAAACTGTTGGAAGATATTAATTGAAAATCGTGCTGATTAGTATTTGGTAAAATTGGCCAGGCCGTTTCTTCGGAATTCAACCTTTTCCACTCGCTAATACCGAGATTCATATGAATTTTACCGCCGGAGCGGCGGCAACCTAGGGATAAGGGTTAATGTTCAAAAAGTGTTTCTTCCTTACAGGTTGGGACTGAAGCAAGTGCAGATGCCGACGTCAGTGTCTTTGATGCAGATTCTTGTGACACAAACAGTTATGCAGGAGGAGTTCCGGGAGACGAGGACGACTGGGCTTCTATGTGTTGGGGCGAAGGCGGTGTTCAGGAGACTCCTGCATGCTGGGACGGAGTTGCTGCTGGGGCCTGTATGGTTGATCCTGCTCATCTTCCAAACTGGTAAGGGAAAAACAAGTTAATACAAACTTGCATCTGTCATTCTTATTTCTATCAACCATTTACTTCTAGGTTTATGGAGTCGTCGTCTTCTCTTCCCCAAGTTGAGTTAACCCAACAGTGGCGTCTGGATATCTTGAACTCCTTAAAACAACTCAATGCAACAGTTGATTCCACTGATCCCAAATGGGAACATTACGAAAATGCTGCTGAAGGAGGCTCCTGGACCAAAACTGGTGAAGCCAGATGCTGTCTGAAAGATGACAACATGTTTGCCGACTGTTTGCTTGAGTTGGAGTGGTTTGGAGACAGCACTTTGGACAGTGGCAGTTTGACAATACTGAATGCTGATGGAGCCACAACAATGGTAATAGAAATACCATAGAAATACATTTTTTATAAGGTTATTGGTCTTTATTGTTGGGTTTTTTATGCAGATTCAAATCAGTCTATCGGATGTCTGTTGTGTTTGGTGCTGCAGTGAAGCTGGGTCTCCGCGTATTGCTTTGCAGGCCCCGAGATCTTTGGGACATGGAGCTCCTTCAAATAAACATTCACCACCTCCTGTAGTCTTGCAGTTTTCGGGAGATGCTGATATGGAAGACTGGCTTGCATATCTTACATCAGGTCAGGCACAAGTATATTTAATTGAGTCTACATTTTGCTAATTTTATGATTTCTTCCAATGCTATATTTTACGGCTTTTATATTGATTCAAGTCAAGTTTGACACCGAAGTTGGAAAAGTGTTCGACAAAATCGTCGAGCAGTTGTATCAGAAACTGCTTAACTAATTTCAAGTCTCAAAAATTGATAAGCTATGTCTTTTCATCTTTTTTTAGACTAGAGTCCATCAGATCAAGTTTGCTCTCCAGTATATTTTTGTTTTCCTTGATAAAGTCAAGATTCACTTTGTGCATCAGTAAATTCATTATTTCTTTTGATACTAAAGTTTTGTACTTCACTCAAAGAGTTCTACATTTACTGCATTCAAATAGATTTTGCTGGTCAGTAAATTTTCTATTTCTATTCCAGTTTGTTGTCAAATGAACGAAGCCAGTGGCGGTTCTGGTCCTCGATCCTTGTGGCTGACGACCAGATTGGGCGATGTTTTCAACTTCGACCCAGAGCCCTTGGCCAAACAACAAAAGTTTCTGGCGGAGTCCCTTCGAGAACAAAGACTTGTTCCAAAATCTGTGGAATCGGTGAAGAAAGATCTAGTCAATATGAATATTAATGTTAATGAAGCACTGCTGAAGAGCGAACAGGAAGACGGAATGATTAAACCTAGTGAGGAAAATAAAGGTGATAAATTATTTTATAAACAATTTTTTTTCATACTTTATTTCATATCTCTTATTATTCTCTTTCTGTTTAACTTTATTTTTTGCTCGCTCTATCTTATTCCTCTCACACTTAATTAAAGTCAATTTTCTATAAAATTAATTTTCAGTGGCGATTTATAAGTATGCTGAGTTGTTGTATGTATTATAATGTTGTAGATTATTTAATTGTGAATATATTTTCCAAATACATGATTCACTTCAGAACATGATTTTACCTTAATTTTAGATACCAAAGAAACTCCTACCACAGATTCTAATGTGACCAAAGGGGCTCGCAGATATGCCATCTGCGTCGATCTCCAGGCAGTTGACGCTCCTTACGAGATGGATTTGAATGCCTCCTTTCCTGTTGGTACGGAACTTAGTGTTCACGGTAACGTTTTGGACGAATCAGAAAGATTTACAGTGGATTTAAGATGCCATGAAGTCGTCACCATAAAGCACAAGGCTGAAAGACAGGTTGGTCAAGGGGGTTTTTTCCTTATTAGACAGTTGTATAGAAATGAGAAATGATCAAGCGATTGGTGCATTGTTATTTCAATTCTTCATTTTCTATATCAATTTTAAATTTTAAAATTTAATTCACTTCATATGAAAGGCAAGGCATTCATGAGGGTGGATGTGAAAATAGTAATTTCATATGTTATGATGTTCATGAACACCTTATGAAAGAATTTTTATTTAATTAATAGCTATTTATCTCATTGTACTATTCATATTACACCCCAATTTGATCATGCAACTCGTTTGTGCATTTATTTATTATACTTCATGTAACTTTCGTTGAAGATTTTTTTATGCATTTAATTCTAATTATGCAACTTGTTTGTTCATTTTGTTACTATGGTTTTTACAACTTTCAAACTATTTGTTTAGTGTGAATGATGTGGATTGATTTAGATTATCATACAAATACCCTATAGTATATTATTCTTTAATCCAAGCTTCTTAGAATGCATTTAATATTTTTGTCGAACACGGATTTGAGCGGCGGTATAGCAATCTGAAATCCTCAAGCGTACCTTCAGCGCTGCGATATCCATGTGGAATCTATGTGGATATTAGATTGCACCGCCGCTCGAGGTTTACTGGGGAATGAATGATCATTCATTCATGAGATAAAAGGCATATCTATTTAAAATTATTTTAAGTGTAACTTTCACTAACAACAAAAAACTCTACTCTCAAATTTTGAACTGTATATTAAAACATAATTGTAGCGTGTTATGTTTTTATTAAATAGAAAATAATTTTAGAAAATGAAAATTTATGCACATCTTTACGTTTCAAAGCCCTCTGAACATTTTAGCATACTTTAGAAAAAAATGGAAGCGTGTGTGTGTATAGTATGCATATATGTAGTTTGAATACAATTTTTCCCCCACGATTTCGTGAACACTGATCAACCGATTTGAATAATTCAAAAAACATTCGATTCGTATCGACAAAAAGACGAGCTAATTAATTTTTGGCAAAGGCAGGTCTAGGCGTTTTAAAGATACAGTGCAAAAAGTGGTCAAAATGGTAATTTAGTTTTTGAGATAACAAAGCGCCCGATTTGAATGATTCAAAAAACATTTTTCTTGTATTGACAGAATGAAGAATTGATTAAATTTTTGGAAGGGCGGAACTGGCGATTTCGGAGATCCAAGCGTAAAAAACTACCTTAGACATATGCACATCAAATTATCAGATATTTTATAGAGATTTTAATAAGTGATAAATTTTTTTTACCCAAGTTTGTACCCTTTAAAATGTTAATCTAATATAAACATAAACTGCATTCTGCTAAAAACACATTTATTTTATATATCAATTAAAAATCTGTACAAATATCAATTAAATTTAATGAACTCTGCTAGTAAGAATAAATTCATATATTGATAATAAAAATAGTAATTATTCATAATAATCTACAACTAAAGTATTTCTATACTGAATATGGCACAGTAGGCTTAATTCATAACATATTTAACATAACCTTCAAATTATCAATATTAATATATTCTCTAACAATACTTTATTAACATTCACTCTTCTACTTTTCTTTTCTTTTCAGATGAGAGACATTCCATTCCACCTAAGTGTTCGGTTTGCAGAAGACATCCTGGTTTTGAATTCGATGAGAGACAACAATTGGCTCGAAGAAGTTAGATACGAAGACTTTCCATTCTTCAAAGGGGGAGACTTCACTTTGAATATTAAATGTGAAGAGAAGTGCTTTGTTATAAGCGTCGATACAAAAGTCTTTGCAAAGTATGTGCATAGACTTCCTCCGGAGAGTGTCAGTCGACTGAAGATTGGGGGGACAGTGAGGCTGTTCAAGATTACTTATGAAACTAACGAGGTAAAGAATTATATATATATATAATATATATATATATATATATATACAGAAGGACTGAATATTGTCTCCATATCTACCACTTTTTTGTATTTTAGGCCATTTTTTTGTTATATTTTTTTATAATGCCCAAAATATTCAATCTTTCATTCTCATTCTTCTGCCAGATACCCTTATTTCATAATAGCTATTTCAGTAATCATATTATTTCTCATCTCACTTGATAATATAATAATTAATTGCATATTTTACATTTATTACAAGTCTTTGGTATGAATGAGGCTGTGTGTTTTCCGAATACCTAATTATGTGAATGCTTTATCACATATTTCACATTTATACGGATGCTATTTCGGGATGAAGAGTCATGTGTCTTTTATAACTAACTAATTGTGTGAATGCTTTATTGCATACTTGGCATTCATAAGGCCGCTCTCCAGTATGAACTCTCTTATGATAATATAAATTATTTGATGAACGGAATGTTTTTTTACAAATTTCACATTTAAATGGTCGCTCTCCAGTATGAATGTACATGTGCGTTTTCATATTGGATGGATGTGTGAATGTTTTGGTGCATAATTTGCATTTGTAAGGTCGTTCTCCAGTATGAACAAGCATATGTTGTTTTACAGTAGCTAATGTCTGAAATGTTTTAACACAAATTTCACATTTATAAGGTCTTTCTCCAGTATGAATTCGCATATGAACTTTTAAATTATATGAAGAGTTGAATGATTTATTACATATTTCACATTTGTATGGTCGCTCTTCGGAATGAATAGTCATGTGTGTATCCAAACTACTTGATTCTGTAAAAGTTTCATTGCATATTTCGCATTTATAAGGTTTTTCTTCATTATGAGTTTCCATATGATGATATAAATCCATTGATGAATAGAATGCTTCATCACATATTTCACATTTTGATATTCGATGAGTAAGCATGTGTGATTTCCTAGTACCTCTTTGTGAGAATGCTTTATCACATATATCACATTTATATGGTCGTTCTCCTGAATGAATGGTCTTGTGAGATTTTAGGTTGCCCCATTGTTTGAATGCCTTATTACATATTTGGCATTTATAAGGTCTTTCTCCAGTATGGGTTCGCATATGAGTTCTTAAATTACCCGAAGTATTGAATGCTTTATTGCATATTTCACATTTAAATTGATGATCTGTCGAATGAATTGTCATGTGCTTTTTTAAAGTACCTAATGTTGTATATGCTTTATTGCAGAGTTGGCATTCGAAGGGCCGTTCTCCAGTATGCATTCGCTTATGATAGTGCAAATTATTTGATGAACGGAATGCTTTATTACATATTTCACATTTGTATGGTCGTTGTTCGGAATGAATAATCATGTGTGTATTTAAACTGCTTGATTGTGGAAACGTTTTATTGCATATCTGACATTCGTAGAGATGTTTTCCAGTTTGAGTATGAGGTTTGGAACTATTTGATGACTCGAATGCTTCATTACATATTTCACCATTATTTGGGCGCTCTTCAGAATGAATAATCATGTGTGTATTCAAACTACTTGATTGTGTGAATGTTTTGTTGCATATCTGGCATTCATATGGATGTTCTCCAGTTTGAGTATGAGGTTTGGAACTATTTGATGACTTGAATGCTTCATAACATATTTGACCATTATTCAGACGCTCTTCAGAATGAATAATCATGTGTGTATTCAAACTACTTGGTCGGGTAAATGTTTTATTGCATATCTGGCATTCATATAGATGTTCTCCAGTTTCTAGTTTGGAATTAATTGATGAAATGAATGCTTCATAACATATTTGACCATTATTTGGACGCTCTTCAGAATGAATAATCATGTGTGTATTTAAACTACTTGATTGTGGAAATGTTTTATTGCATATCTGGCATTCATAGAGATGTTCTCCAGTTTCAAGTTTGCAATTATTTGATGAAATGAATGCTTCATTACATATTTCACCATTATTTGGACGCTCTTCCGAATGAATAATCATGTGTGTATTTAAACTGTTTGATTGTGGAAACGTTTTATTGCATATCTGACATTCGTAGAGATGTTTTCCAGTTTGAGTATGAGGTTTGGAACTATTTGATGACTCGAATGCTTCATTACATATTTCACCATTATTTGAGCGCTCTTCCGAATGAATAATCATGTGTGTATTCAAACTACTTGATTGTGTGAATGTTTTGTTGCATATCTGGCATTCATATGGATGTTCTCCAGTTTGAGTATGAGGTTTGGAACTATTTGATAACTTGAATGCTTCATTACATATTTCACCATTATTCAGGCGCTCTTCAGAATGAATAATCATGTGTGTATTCAAACTACTTGGTTGTGTAAATGTTTTATTGCATATCTGGCATTGGTATGGATGTTCTCCAGTTTGAAGTTTGCAATTATTCGATGAAACAAATGCTTCATTACACATTTCACCATTATTTAGGCGCTCTTCAGAATGAATAATCATGTGTGTATTTAAACTACTTGATTGTGGAAATGTTTTATTGCATATCTGGCATTCATAGAGATGTTCTCCAGTTTCAAGTTTGCAATTATTTGATGAAATGAATGCTTCATTACATATTTCACCATTATTTGGACGCTCTTCCGAATGAATAATCATGTGTGTATTCAAACTACTTGGTTGGGTAAATGTTTTATTGCATATCTGGCATTCGTAGGGATGTTCTCCAGTTTCTAGTTTGGAATTATTTGATGAAACGAATGCTTCATAGCATATTTGACCATTATTTGGACGCTCTTCAGAATGAATAATCATGTGTGTAATTAAACTACTTGATTGTGTAAATGTTTTATTGCATATCTGGCATTCATAGGGATGCTCTTCAGTTTGAGTATGAGGTTTGGAACTATTTGATGAAACGAATGCTTCATTACACATTTCACCATTATTCAGACTCTTTTCCGAATGAATAATCATGTGTGTATTCAAACTACTTGATTGTGTGAATGTTTTATTGCACATCTGGCATTCATAGGAATGTTCCCCAGTTTTAAGTTTGGAATTATTTGAAGAATCAAATGCTTCATTACATATTTCACCATTATTTGGGCGTTCTTCAGAATGAATAATCATGTGTGCATTCAAAGTACTTAATTGTGTGAATGCTTCATCACATATTTCACAACTATATGGACGCACTTCCGAATGAATCATCATGTGCGTTTTCAAACTACCTAATTGTGTGAAAGCTTTATTACATATTTCACAAACATGTGGGCGCTCTTCCGAATGAATCAACATGTGCGTTTTCAAACTACCAATTTGTGAGAATGTTTTATTGCATATTTCGCATTCATAGGGGCGTTCCCCAGTATGAGTACGCATATGATGTTTCAAATTAGTTGTGGAATGGAATGCTTTACTACAAATTTCACATTCATGACGACGCTCTCCGGAGTGAATGGCTTTGTGAGTTTTTAGATTACCAGGTTGTGCAAATGCCTTACCGCATATATCACAAATATAAGGTTTTTCCCCAGAATGCGTTCGCACGTGGCGCATTAAATTAGTTTTCATATCGAATGTTTTATTACAAATATCACATTTATAAGGACAGTCTTCGGAATGAATAACCATGTGTCTTTGTAGATTATTTGATTCTTTGAATGCTTTATTACATATTTCACATTTGTAAGGTTTTTCTCCGGCATGTGTTTCTAAATGAACTTCTAAAGGTTTGATGAGCGGAACCCTTTGTTACATATTTCACATTTGTAAGGATGTTCTTTTGTATGAATAAGCATGTGGTTTCTCATGTCAGCGAGCCGGGTGAATGTCTTATCGCATTGCTCACAATTAAAGGGCCTTTCTTCAGTATGCACAAGCATATGTTGTCTTAAACTTCTTGCTGAACGGTACCCTTTGTTGCATGTTTCACATATGAAAGGACGTTCTCCAGAATGCATGCGCATGTGTGTCTTAAGTCTGTCTAAATGTCCAAATGTTTTGTTGCATGTTTTGCAACTATAAGTATGGTTTTCGGTATGAGAAGAAACATGCTGATTTAAATTATTCAAAAGTTTGAATGTCTTATTACATATTTCACATTTGTGTGGTCGATCTTCAGAATGAATAGTCATGTGTATCTTAATACTGGCTGCATGGATAAAGGACTTGTCACAAATTTCGCATTTGTATCGACGTTCTCCTGTATGAATACGCATGTGCTTTCTCATATTACTCGATGTTGTGAATGCCTTTTCGCATATTTCACATTTGTAACGACGCTCTTTAGAATGAGTAACCATATGCCGCTTTAAATTATTTGAATGACTGAAGTCTTTGTTACATATTTCACATTTGTAACAACGATCTCCAGTATGAGCACCCCCAATTTGTTTTTGATTACCATTTTCACTGAAGTTTGAAAGTTGTTCTATGGTTTGATCACAAACGTGCTGATCTAAAAGATATTTTGTAGTGAATACTTTATTGCATATTGTGCATAAATGAGATTTCTTACCAGGTTCCTCAATTAACTCCTCTTTGATTTCTTCTTCAATTTTCACATCGGAATTCATGAATTTTTCTAAACACGTATCGTCATCTCCAGAATGTTCAGATTTAACAGTACCATCAAAACCTTCAAATTCATTTTCAATTTCGCGTTCAACCTCCTCGATGGAAAATTCAAGTGGTTCGATTTTAATTTTTGTATCACATGTTAATTCAGACATTTTTTAAATATTTTCTCTACGTATATTCATTAAAAATTAACTTAAATAATCCCTGTAATATTTACTAATCTATTTGATCTGAAATATAATAAGTTATTTAGTTACTTTTATATTAATTCTTGGAAATGCAATCCTTATCTCTTTTATGTAAACATGACGTTTGAGTTGTCAGTTCAAGTCAAAGCATAGACTATGTTTATATAAAGACGAGACACTCACCATCTTTTTAAATTCATAACAACTCTCTATGCTCTATCTGTCAGATGGAAACGACAAAACTTTTGC